CACATGTCGTCCAGGCAGGGGGTATAATGGTAAAACCGCAGAGGTACTCCTGGCTTATATAAGGCCACCTGGCGCGCGCCATGTTGATCAGCAGCCCGTGCAGAAGGATCAGTGATCGTCCCCAGAATGCCCATCCCGCCACGGCCGTAGCAACCTCCTCCCGCAATTACTCCAACTTGTGCCCACACCACACCACACACGCCGGATCGAGCCCATCCATGGACGCGAGCCTCCGCACGCTGCCCCCGGCCGGCAGCAGCTTCCCCGGCGAGGTCCGCTCCGCCGTGTCCTCGCTGCTGCTCTCCTCCCCGGGCGGCACCAGCGCCCTCGACACCGTCTTCTCGCACCTCCTGCCGCCGGTCACCATCCCGCCGCTCGGCTCCAGCGTCTACTACCGCCAGTGCGAGCTCCTCCGCCACTTCGCCGCCTCACAGCCGCAGACGCACCATCCCGCCCCTGCCGCCGCCGCTGCCTGCTCGTCCTCCTCCTCGTCGACGTCCTCCGCCGCCTCGGCAAGCTTGCAGTTCCAGCCCCACCAGACGCCGGCCGCGCCGCCCGACGACGCCGCGGCGGCGGCGGCCATGCTGCGGCAGAAGCTGTACTGCGGCGTGCGGCAGCGGCAGTGGGGCAAGTGGGTGGCGGAGATCCGGCTGCCGCAGAACCGGGTGCGCGTCTGGCTCGGCACCTACGACTCCCCCGAGACCGCCGCGCACGCCTACGACCGCGCCGCCTACAGGCTCCGCGGCGAGTACGCGCGCCTCAACTTCCCGGGCGTTATGGACGGGCCGGACCCGGACTGCCCCGACCACCTCCGCCAGCTCCGCGCCGCCGTCGACGCCAAGATCCAGGCCATCCGCGCCCGCATGGCGCGGAAGCGCGCGCGTGCGCGCAAGCAGCGCGAGGAGAAGGAGAGCGCCCGCTCCGGTTCCGGCACCGAGGCCGCCAACAAACCAGACGCCGCGCGCCCGGTCGCCTCCGACGGCGCCGCGACGACGACCACCACCTCCGAGACGTCGACCACGCCGTACGGGTCGCCCGACGGGGTGCTGTCCGTGAGCGCCGCCTCGGCCGACGGCGACTGCCCGCTGGAGAAGGTGCCGTCGTTCGACCCGGAGCTCATCTGGGAGATGCTTAACTTCTAGCCGGCTAACCGCATGGAACGAACCGATCAACGGGACGCCATGGACACCGGGACCAAACGACATAAAGGTCCTTGCTTGGACATGGCTGCCGCGCGTAGACCTCGCATCTAGGTGCTGTTCCTTTTTTCAAATTATGAGCGTATATATATATATATATATATATATATATATATATATATATATATATATATATATATATATATATATATATATATATATATATATAACCAAGTATTAGTAGAAGGATGATGATACCATGAGCAATAAAATGCCCAAGAAAACCGGGCCTGCTAGCCATGATTAGTTGTATCTGAATACTCGAATGGTCGTGTGTTTTCGCATTGATCGACGAGCTGTAAAGGCTGATCGCTGATTCTCTCTCTGCATAAGCATTACAGCGTCTTCGACTGTTATGAATCATCTCTGTTTCTTGTTAGTAATTCTCTTCTGTTTGTATGCTACTGCCTACTCCAAAGAGATGATTGTGTGAGAGCTGCAAGCAATCTCCTGAGGCCCAGATTTCAGAAGCGTGTCTGCAGCCTGCACTGCACTGCACTGCACGGGCTCTGTCGAGCTGGACCCCGAACCTGAATTTGCGTTGCGTGCAGCCTGAGATGGATGACCTGATGAACAGTGCAGTGCAGAGCAATGGGATCACGAAACAGAGGAAGATTTTCTCTGCAATCCCATGCACCTGTCTGCCTGTTCGTTCCGTTTGATTATCTGAAAGATGCCTCGCAGTGGACAGTGGTGGTCCATGGGGAGACTACTGGTTCCCATCAATCACGTGCAACGTTTTGCTGTGGTATGGTAGTATGGTACGGTAGGCATGTGGCCTCAACTGTACTAGCTTCTTCAACTGGGCTCCTCTCAGGGGCGAAGCCCAGTTATTGACCGTGGGTGTAGATGCACCACCTGATTTTTCTTTTCTACTCAGATTTTGATCCTTTATGCACCCCAAAGACCAATAGACTACACCCCTCACAGCCCATCGGCCCAACCTGCAACTTCGATTAAGGAAGGCCTGGAACTGCAAGATCAATTGTTTCTCGTAACCTCCGGCTGTTATTGTGATACGTCGTTCCATCTTCCGTCGTTCCGTTTCAGCAAGTCCGCGTCGTTCCGTCCTCTCGGCTTCTAGCTTCTGCAGGCCCGCGGCACCCTTGCCTCGCTCTTGCGCATCCAGCGAAGGTTGCCGTCACGCATCACCCGGAGGCTGGCTACTCTGCAGGCCGCAGCTATCCAGCTACGAGCCGGCTCCGTCGCTGGAGTGCTCTGTCTACCCAACAGGCCAACACCCAACAAGCATCAAGGATTTAAGCCGGTATGAAACTAAATTAGATGCTCACATGTAGCCATGCCTTTTCTTTTGTCTTTCTTAATTAATCTGATTTTATGTACAAATTAGGTCCCTTTGGAATATGAGATTTTTTTTCCGCTCCTACATTTTTCTTGAAAAATAAACTGTTTCTAAAATTATTATACACTTTTTACGAAAATTCCTGCGTTCCAAGGTAGGCATAAAGCTATAACTGATTATTGTTTTACTTTTACAACGGCCTACAGTGGTAGGCTAGCTATTTGTGTTTGAGTATAAATTTATATGTTCTTTTATTAGGCTGATGGAACGGTTTTCTATCCAAAACAAAAACACTAGAGCCTGGTAGTGCCAATAATATAGAGAATTACAAGCAAGCATTCTCAGAGAATGGTGGAGACTAAAAACGTGATAGATAGTTGAGAGGATTTTTTTTCAGACATAATGATTGTGAAAACAACTTTACACAATTACATTGGCGATAAATTTATGAATAATAGTCTTATTTGTCACGTGGAGAAAGAAGAGATGACGAAAGTAAAAAATAACACCATGGTTCGTCGTTTCGAAAATATAAGAACGTAGATTTATTAATCACTCGGTTTTTTAGTCGCACCCCCTCAATTTTCTTGTCGCTTCGCCGCTGGCTCCACTTTGCTGAAACGAAAACAAAACCCCCCAAAAATCTGTCCGGTACGGCCATCGTTGGAATGTTCGGACAATAGCAGCAGGCCACAAGCAGCACCAAACTGCGGCGACACAAATGAAACCAGCCTGGGGATGGACGGTGTCTCCATTCAGAAATCTCTCTTTCTCTCTGAATCGAAGATTGGATTCTTTTCCGGACCAAGGTGCTTACATCATTGTACATTCTCACCAGCACGTACGAAATTTCAGTCTCCGCGGAGGACGAACCGCAGAACGTCAACAGGTAACGGCAGAACCAGAATTAGTTTGCTGACACAGATGGGCAACCAGTCAAACAATACAGTGATGGTAGGACAATGAGCTCTGCTGGTTGCCTGAGGACCCCAACGGTTCAATATGCATCTGCGGATCTGCCTGGGCTGGGCGCGAACCAAAAGGCCTAAAATCTCAGGTTTCCGGAGGAAGCGCGGGACAGGATGGACAGCCTGTTCCATTCTGCGCCGTTGAATGTCGACGACGCATCCGTTCCCTGAAACCGAAATGCTCTTGACATTTCTCAGCTACGGTTCTTCAGTCTGTTGCTTTGCTTGCTCCGGCCAATGGCTGCAGCAGGCTCAGCTGTTGGCCTGTTAACCTCTCAGACATTACTGTAAGAAATTGCGATGCTCTGGCATGTTGCTAAGTTTCAGGTTGAGCCCTGTTCTGGTTGGATCCACGAAGCAGTGAAGCCGAGGCTAGGGGTTTGTTCTTTGTTGCGCAGCAGACGGAGGAAGAACCGGTGCCCGTCAACTGCATGCTAAACGCTCGTGAGGGACAAGAACAAGAACAGCGCCGCGCTTGCAGTATCGTGGAAGGGCACATCCATCTACCACCCATGACAAGACCCATCCGTCACCCAGTCTGAAAAGCACTGGCGAGCTGCATTTCTTCTGAAACTGTAGTTTTTTTTTTTGCCCCCTCTGAAAGTACAGTCAATTATGATTTGAAACGGAAGCGGAGCTACTTGGCTGTCTCCGGTGTGAATACTGAATACCACCACCTGCTCGTTCTTCTGAGATCCGAACCCCGAACCACCGTTGTTGCACTTTTTCTCTGAATGAACGTCTGAAGCGCTACTGATTGAACGAACGACTAGAATGAAGAAAAGACCTGGACTGGATACATACATCCATCACCAGGGATCGGCGGCCGCTGTTTGAGATGGGTGTCGTGTCATTGAATCCATACAACTGAAGCGCCAGTGGATGCAGTTATTAGAGCCGGTGAAAATGGTTTCGTCCGTCCCTGAAGCCAACAGGAATGTGGAGCTATTCCTCTCCGATCCGTTTTGTTAATCGTTTTTGAAAAGTGCTTTAGTTACTCTAGAGAAACTCCGGTTAGAGCCGAAGCTATTTTGGGAGGAGCTGAATCCGATCCGCTGCCAAAAAGGCCCTTACACAAGCTCGCGCAGTAGGCAGCAGATCGATTCACTGAACTTTATTTGAGACGTCAGTTTGCGTAGCAGTGTATTGAACATAGAACAGAAAGTAGCTTACGAGTTAAGAATTACTATTACGAGGTATTTTCGTCACTGTTCGCTGACAATTTATATAAATAAATAATCGCGCACGCTGTCAACACGGCGAACTGAAAACGAAACGAGTCTGAAAGGAAAAGGAACCGATGGCAATGGAAATCTAACTTGGAAGATGGACAGTAACATTTTGTTCCAACCATCTCCATCCAAATCATTCCAATCCAAACCGGCCCGATTGCCCTGCTCCGCTCCACCTACTCCCAGCAGCGCGACACGGACGCCGTAGCCGTAGCAGTACCAGGCAGCGGGCTAGCTGTGGCAGCTCGCGCGAACACGACCGGTGGGCGCCGGGCGGGCTCCTGGTGCGTCCTCGCAGTCACAGCCTCCGGCCACAGGCCACCGACCCGCAGATGATGGAGCGCAGCACCGCTTTGCCCGTCCGCGTCGCGGCCTTGGCCACGCCCACGGCGCTCCGCCTGCGCCGGCGGCTCCGCGCGGTCGCCCTCTTCGCCACGCCCACCGCCAGGACCGCCGCGGCGTCGTCGGCGTCGCACGGACGCCGCGGAGGCCGCGCGAACGGCAGCGCCATCAGGTGGGTGTCGAGGACGCGGTGCACCGACGCGAGCTCGAACGCGTCGTACAGCGGGCTCCCGCAGTCCCACGGCGACGGCGGTTGCGCCGCCGGCTTCCTGGGCTCCGCCGCCGCCTCCTCGGCCCGGTCCACGGCCATTATTCGTGCTAGCGCCACGGGAACCCTCACGATTACTGCCTGCCGTGTTTATAATCGAGCCAGCTAGATCACGCTAGATTCAGCTGGGAATCTCCTAGTTCCAATTCAGCTAATCAGTTAATTTCCACCCTGGAACTGGAATGGACGTGGACGCTCCGTGAAAGATCAACTCAACGCATTTCGCGTCGTAGCCGATCTTGTGCAAATCATCGTCCTACCACCTTTGCCCTAAAATCAAATGTTAATTAATAATATCTTTGACCATCGTTTTTTAAAAATAAATTTATGATATAAGATTTATGTTTTAGCTATAAAAATACTTTGATAATATATACTCTGTAACTTATATGTTGTGAAACTATATTATTTTAAAAAATATATATGGTCAAAAATAGTAATATTTGACAAGCTAATATGACGTATAAAAAAGAACGAGCAATAGTAGCTTGTGATGGTATGGTATTTGACGTGCCGTCATTAATTAAATTGGTTAAAATGGCTGATATAGTGCACCAACCACCACACCACAGTATTTTTGACATGAGGAGCATCAATTGCGCGCTGGCGTGCAATTTGCTCGTTTAGATGGTGACTGAGAGTAACATGTTTCTAACCCAATTATGGAAAGTAGTTAACCGTAGTTGGCCGTGATGCTGGACGATATCTGGACGTATCGGTATCTCTATCTCCCTCCTGCCATCTAATCTACATCTACACCTACACGGCGGATGGACATTCACATCCGGTTGTCCGGTGTTTGAAAAATGGAGTAAAATCCGTTTTGATCGTTTGCGAGATTCCGATTTCAATTCAAAAATCAAATATCGTTGACCATCAAACTATGGAAACTTCATCAATCTGGCCATCTAATTGATTTCTTCTGTATTATCTATAAGGGCCCATTTGGCCCCCTTCGTTTTGGAGGAATTCAAATCTACTTAATAGATTAGGTTATTTAGCTTTGAATTAGACATTCCATAACTTTTCAAACTCACAAATAAGCCTATCTCAAATTCATAGGGTGAGAGATGGAAATGTATTTTATAAATCACCATGTTATAATTTTACTCTCCAACTTATAGCACACTTTTCAACTCACTTCCCTACAATAGAAATGCAATATATAAGTATATCCCTTGTATGCCTAACAATAAATATACAAATATATTCCACGTACAACTATATTAGCTTAATTAATCTATGTATAAATTATAATTATTAGAATGAATTCAATTTCAAGGATCCAAACGGGCCCTAATAGAAAAATAGATTAATCTGTAACAATTTTATAACTTATACGAAATCTAAATTATGAAAATATTAAATTAGAACTAAAATTTTAACCCAAACATAAACTATCAACAAAGTTTGATTTACCCCACGCAACTGATGTGGTGTTGTTGACGTGGCGTCCCATCAGATAAAACCTCTGTCCAAATCTGTTCCAGTGCAAAAAAAAACGATGTTTAAAATTGAGGGAGGTTAACAATTCGACTTTGTAATCGAGGAGGAAAATCAGACCATTTTTTTTTAGCAAGAGAAAACCAGGGTTTTTTTTTGCGAGAGAGAATACCAGGGTTAACAAGGACCCTGTACGAGAGAAGCGGCGCGTGATATTTTTTCCAGCCCATGGACCCACGGCCCACTCTGAAGCCTTACTGGGCTGAAAGGCTCGTCCTGACTACTGTTGTCCGGCCCATTTAGGTGCATCATCATCCGGGGAGCAACGGGAGCCACCCAAACTCGGCAAACCTCCACCCCCACCACGCCCAAATGCTGGCGACCACCTGCGGCGCGCCGCCGTGCCCGTGCGCACGGTCGCGGCGGCTCCCAAACGGCGACTTTTGGAGGAAGCTATGGCATTGGGCACACCTGCGGCACCACTAGGCGAAGGCCGCAAAGAGCGGCGGTGGTGCGGTGCGGGCTGCTGCCCGTGGATCCGTGGGCGCCGACGATGGACTCCCAGAGCGTGGCGTCGCAGCTCTTCGCCGTCTCGCTCTTCCCCTACCTGGGATTCCTCTACTTCATGACCAGGTCCAAGACCGCGCCCCGGCTCACGCTCTTCGGTTTCTACTTCCTCCTCGCCTTCGTCGGCGCCACCAGTACGCGTTACTTCTCCCATTCCCATCTATCTCCCTACTCTAGTTTCGCATGTCAACATTTGGCCAAATGTAGCGTTGTGTAATAATTCCCCATTTCCCCACACCTTGACTGCACATGTTATGCAAATGGGATGGTGATGCACTGATGCACAAGTTGTGCTTTTGCCAATTGCCATCGGTAGATGACTAGTAAGTACTGTACTACTGTGTACTTATTGTAGTAGTAATGTGCTTATAACTTGATTTATTGTTCTGATAAGTGTACTCTAACATACAAGTTGGTGATTTTAGTATATCAGTACTTAGCTTGTCTACAGAAACGTACATGAAAATTTAATACACAGACTTTTGTATGCACGATTCAGAGAAGTTATATGAAACTGTGAGGGCAATTTATGTGTCTGTCAGGTACATTTGCTAAAGTTCCACTTCCGCGGTTAGATCATTGTGAAGATGTTACAGATATTAGCAGTTGAACACTACGTGGAATAGATAAATTAGTCTAAAAGCAACTGAACATCTCAGTGGCTTGCTCATATATGATCACATAGGTTTTTGCTCCAGTATACCTCTTTTAGAAAAGTTTGCGGATCCTAAAGCGAAATAGTTAATATCACGTGAGGCATAGGATGGTGAAGATTGGTGCTGTACTGCTATTGTTGCTTTGCTTTAAATTCTTTTTTTTTTTTTTGTGAAAAGACATGCATTCATACAAGCCTCAGCAACAAAATAAAAATACCAGTAGTCTTACATATGGACCAATTGAAAGAAATAAACAGTGAGCAACTGAGCATTAGAATAATCAGAGGACCAATCTTTAACTTTCTTGTTCTTGATGTTACAACAGATAAAAATACCAATAGTCTGGACCAATTGAAACAAATAAACAGTGAGTATTAGGGCAAAGACCAATCTTTAACTTTCTTATTCTTGAGGTTACAGATAAAAATACCAGTAGTCTTAAAATGGACTAATTGAAACAAATATCTTCGATCTTTTCCTTTTTGGAGACAGTCTTTGCTTTCTGGCCACCATTCCAGTGTCGTTAGATGGCTAGGCGGGGAGAAGTCACGCGAAGAGATTTTCTATGCAGCTTTAACTACAGAGAGATGTGTAGTCAGCTCTAAAGTTCTACAGAAGGAAGCAACCTGAAACTGAATTAGTTTAGTGATTGGAGCTTACGGACCAATTGATTCCAAGGTCACAGTGATCCTTGCAAGTCGTCTGACATTTCAAATTTTGTATAGTGTAATTGTAATTCCTACGCATAGCCCTCTTGAGTTTAGTAATGTTTTGTTTCTGACTATTTAGCTGTCTAGCAGAACATTATGTCAGTGCAATTAATTGTTTCCATGTTGTTTCATGCACCGGTTTTTATCCCTGGAGCAGTACCTGCTGGGATTTATGGTAATTGTGCCATAAAATTTTCACCATCCTTATATTCTTTGCTTATACACACCGAGTGCACTTATTGATACAATGATATCCATTGCAGCAAAAGTTCACTATGGAACCTCGCTGTCTAATGTGGACTGGCTCCACGGGAGCGCGGAATCGCTACTTACTCTTACCAATCTATTTATCGTTTTGGGGCTGAGGGGAGCCTTGAGGAAGCTGGAGAAAGAGGACACGAATGGGACGATTTCTGAAGCTTCTGAAGACAGTAAAGAAAAAAGCTCTGTCTAGATAGGTCTATCAGTACCCCCGGATGGTGCATTCAGTAACCAGGAGGGGGCGTGCTTCTTCTTCTGCTCAACTAGTTAGTAATGAGGTTTTGGGTGTAAAGAAACCTGGCAAATCAACTTTGTGCATATGCTGAGAAAAACAATGTGTCTACTGCAATTCTGTGTAGTTACAGTCTCCAGGTACGCTGTTCTGAGTAGTTGCAGTGTCCAGTGTGTAAAGGCAATGGTACTACAGCTTCCATTGGGACAATTATTCACATTCTGATTCTGAGTGCTTCAACATGATTGCTTGTTCTCAATCTTTGCTCCTATCTTTAGATTCAGATAGCATTTACATTCAGATAGCCTGCTGGGTACAACGTTTTTGGGGGGCTTTGTCCGGTAGTTCATATCATCTTGAAGCTGTGTTATCATGGTTTGCATGGACAAGGCAAAACAGTACCCAGCTGTTGATAGTAGCAGAAGATTACTACACTCTAGTCTACTCTGAAGCTAATACTGATGCCGGAATTCGGTAAAACAAGCTACCGTACGCGCTGCACATATATGTATATATTTTGTCTGCAGATACCCCATCTAATTGGCCGCATAGAGGTCCCATTGAAAGGGCTCCGTTGCATTGGTGGTGAACAGCTCCTCGAACTGGGTCTCGAACTCCATGCCGATGCCGACCCCGAGGCTGCCTGCCGGGTGGCTGCTCCTCAGCTGCCAGTCCAAGGCCGTCGGCGAGAGGAGCGGGAAGCAGCCGGCGAAGTCTGCGCCGTCACCAGCCGCAGCCGCGGAGGCGAACCAGTAGGGCGTCATGGGCTCTACTAGCAGACCGGCCCGCAGGCCCTCGGTCTCCAGCGCGAGCAGGGAGGCTCCCTGGTCCTCCTGGGCGCCGTGCCCGTGCCCGGGCTGCAGCTGCAGCTCCTGCCGCAGCTGCTGGGCGCTGGGGTGCGCGGCCTGTGCGCAGGTGTGCGCGCCGTGGTACACGACGTCGTGCAGCAGCGGGTCCCCGTCGGCGCGCTGCACGTGCTTGGTGGCGAGGCAGCCCTGCGAGTGGCGGTGCGTGCACCGGAAGTAGGCCCTGCGATCGAATTGCAACCCACCCCACACGTGTCAGCGTCGCTCGATCTGCGCCGTCGGTTAGTCAAGGAGTCGTCTGGTGCAACAGTGCAAGGGAACGAGGGAGTGACGCGTGCGTGCTGACCTGGGGTACTTGGCGCCCAGGATGTCCTTCTGCCCGTACTTCCTCCAGCTGAGCCCGTCGTCCAGCGCCGCCGCGTCCTGCACCGACGCCGCCCGCAGCTGCCTCCTCACGCACGGCGTCCCCTTCCTGCGGTACAATACAGATCGACAGAATTGCCAAGTCATGCTCTGCTTGCTACTCGCGTGTTTGTTTTAGTACAGTACTCTGATGAAACAAACAAGATCGTCCGAAGACCGATCGACTTGCCTCCTCTTGGACTGGGCGGCGGTGGCATTGCCGCCGTCGCTGTGGGGCTGCCAGCCCCGGACGCCGGGGAGTCGCCGCAGCAGGACCTGGCGATGCGGATGGACCTGTCCACGGACGACGCCAGCTCGGCGCAGAGCTCCCGCGCGGCCGCCGGGAGCGGGTCCTGGTCCATGCGCGCCTCCAGCTCCCGGACCATGGCCAGCACCTGCGCCAGCTCCGAGGCCAGCGCGCTCTTCTCGCCACCGTAGCCGCCGTCCATGCCCTGACCTCAGCTCACCTCAGGTAGCTACTTCGCCAAGAAGGCAAGAAGAGAAGGCACTAAGGCAGGCAGTGTGTGTGAGCACGGTGGTGAGTGTGGCAGAGACAGTGGGGGAGAGGCTACTTATTATATAGAGTTGGAAAACGGAGGCAAGCTTCTGTTCAAAGCTGGGAAAACGGAAAACGGGATCATTTCGGGTTGGACCGGACCGAGACCGATCACCGAAGAAAAGGTGGAGACTAAGCACAGAATATTACCCTCTGACTGGTGTTCTGGTTCAAACCAAACACTTGGACTGGTCTTTGGGTTCTGGGCCCACTTGGACTGGTCTTTGGGTTCTGGGCCCCGGCCGGTCACCGGGGCCCGGCAGTGTGCGGCACTGGCAGTGCCATGTCGCAGACAAGCGGGGCCTAGCAAGCTCCTAGTGCTCTCTGACTATTATTCCGGGCCGGCCGGCCGGCCGGTCTTTCTTTTTCACCGGGAGATTCTCTCGCCCTTGCGTAGTTGCGTTGCTTTCGGTCCAAGGAGTTCCCATTTCGGCGTGTCCGCGTGGTAACCACGGCCATTAGCGATCTTTCAGAGAAAAAACCCACGGACATTACCTGTGCACTGCGACTGCCAGCGGCCACGGCTCTCGATCGGTTGCTTGCCACCGGACGCCGCTGTTTTGCCTTGGTTGTGTGCTGTGCTACTGACTACGGGCTACAAGCTACAGCGCGCCCGTGTTTTCGCTGAAGATTCGTGACTGTGGTGGGCAAGTTTGCTTGCCTGGCGTCGTCGAGCCGTCGAGTGAGTGCGACTGTCTGCGTGAGTCCCTGCCACGTGGCGGCGGCGACAGGCGTAGTACGTGGCTGTGGCCTCGCCGGAGGGAAGGAAGGTGACGCCGCGGTTTCTCGGCGGCTTCCGGCAGAAATTCAGCGAAGGTTGCACGTAGCTTTTCCCTGTCACTCTGTCAGAGTGCCAGTGCGCACGTACGGCAAAGTTAACCCCAGGCCTGGGCCATGTTTAGATTGCAAAAAATTGCAACCTGATGAATAGTAGCGTTTTCGTCTTATTTGGTAAATATTGTCCAATTGTGGACCAACTAAGCTCAAAAGATTCATCTCGTGATTTCCAACTAAACTGTGCAATTAGTTATTTTTTTTACCTACATTTAATGCTCCATGCAAGCGGCTAAAAATTGATGTGATGGAGAGAGAGTGAAAAAACTTGGAATTTTGATGTAAACTAAACAAGGCCCTGGTTTATATTAAGGTTAGGAATCAGTATTTGGCATTATAGCATTTTTGTTTGTATTTGATAATTATTGTTCAATCATAGCCTAACTAGGCTCAAAAGATTTGTCTCGTAATTTACAATCAAACTGTGTAATTAGTTATTTTTTATCTATATTTAATACTCCATGTATGTGTCCAAAGATTTGATGTGATAGAGAGAGTGAAAAAACTTGCAATCTAAACAAGGCCTGAGTGCGGGGTACGACCCCGATGCCCACGGGGCTGTATACGGACCGAGCGGTCAGGGGAGATCCAGCCCACGATACTACGCCACACGAAATATGGCACAGGTCGGCGTGCCTCGTAAGATTACGCAAAGATTCTTGATGACGAAGGATAATCTGTTCGGATATGCAAGATCCCGCAATCTCTGTAATTCTTATCTTGTAAACCGATCGGGATAGAAACAACTCTACCCCCGTGCTATATAAGGCGGGTAGGCCCTCCCTCATTTTCATATACAATCTCTCATAATACAATCCACAAAGATACAAGATATAGGGTATTACATCAAGCTGACGGTCTGAACCTGGCTAATCGTTGTCTCTTGCGTTCTGTGTCACCTTCCGGTTCCCTCACGCGCACCTCCACCGATTCATTTACTACCGTGGGCAACCCCTCGATAGACTGCCGAATGTATTTCGTCGACAGTAGCGCGCCAGATAGAAGATGTACATGCTGATCCCATGGCGAAGCAGATGGCTTGCCTTAATATCAACGTTTTCGGTGGGATCGACCTTCGATTTCGTACGGGGATTTCTTCATCAACTTCGCTGACCAACAAGCCGCCGAGACGAGGCGGAGCCCTCAACGTGGTGTAGTAGCGTTCGTGATTCAATCCGGGAGCCTGGCTTCACGTCGGATGCAGCGTGAAAGAGAAGGCTAGCTACCGAGTTGCCAGGGCGCCGCAACCTTCCCGACGACGTCAGCGCAAGGCCCTGCCGCCACGCGTGCTAGATAAAACACAATCGTTCGTGTGGATGGGTGACGACACGGGGTCACGCGTGCAGCAACGTATCCAGGCAGATGATCAACGTATTGATTATCCTTGCATGTCGATCTGAGTGTATATGCATATATACATTACGCATGCGTGTTCGGGAGGGTTTCATTATTTGCTGATCTACGCTTCGGGATATGACTCCAATCTCATGCTTTTGATTCCAATTAAATATTTTATTTATATAAAATATATGTTTTTGATATCTCTACATCTCTACGTGACTACAATGCAGGAGGCGATCAACTGCGCCCTTCACCGTTAGCCTTCGCAACAACGCCCTAGGATGATTGAAGCTGTTGCCGACGGCGTACGATCGCGACTCCGAGTCGGCAGCAAGGCCACGTCCCAATCCTCAACCAATGAGCAAACAAGTAAGGAGCCATCCACGAACGTCAGTCGGACATGCAAGCAAGCAAATTTTGCTTAGTTTACCTGTCTGTCGGTTATCGATATTAGGGATACCCAAAACAAGAAAGTTAGCGCCCACGCTGACTTCTCTGGATGGGTCGAGACGTATTAAAAGGTCTCGTCCGACCCCAAAGACGCGGACTCCGTCTCGCCCGACCCCTTGGGTGCGGGCTGTAACAGAATCGTGTAATTTATAAGAGCACAAGTACAATAGCAGCCACCGAGGCAGTCAAACCATCACACTTGAGCCCATATAAATCTGGTAGTCAGTCGAGTATCACGAAGGATCTCGAATCAACCAACATACAAACCAAGATCGTATATGATTCAACATACAAGCCACATGTTACAATAAGTTCACAAATAGTTTGTCATACATCGGAGTTCCAACATAGTTATTACAACATCAGTTTAACAGTAGCGGAAACAACATAGTTCAGAACGACATCAACAATAGTTTAGATACATAGTCAGTTTTCCTAGTCATCTCCAACAGAAGCACAAGGGTGAGATGATATAAAAGAGTGACCATTGTCTATGGTCCTATTCCTCATTCACGACAGGAGCAAAGCAGTGCTTACAGTAGCCGTGGTACATCACGTTATCTACAACAATAGGAATAAAACCCTGAGTACGAGAAGGTACTCAACTAGACTTACCCGTCATCAACTAAAATACTAAGATACCAAAGAGTATGCAAGGCTTTATAAGTAGAGCTGGTAGACATTATTTGCATAAAAGCATTAGTTGTCCAATATCTTTTAAACTGTGAATCACCAGTTATTAATCCTATCTCATACTAGATTAGCAACTATCCTATGCCAAACATGTTGGTACTCTGAAGTCAGTATAATAATAACCATATCAAGTTGAGCTCTTCCATAATCTCATAATCAACACTTCCATCAATTACTACGATGAAGCGTACTCCTGTCAAGTTCTCACTGTCCGGGAAAGGCGGCGATTCGAATCGATTCCTACCCAGCTAGGAAATTATTCCTAGCACACAACCATACTTTCCCCGTCGGGATCGCTTTAGGTCACCTTTGGTATAACTCAAGTCCAAATCGCGGGTAAGACTAGCGCCGCACCCTCAAAGATACTACCAATCTGCCAGGAAGCTCAGGACTCGAACCCGCCCTTAGACTCACGCCATTGGCTCTCCACACATCCTTACTGCCTCCAGGGTGCGCACTTTAATTGCTCGTGTCCCCGTCCTGAGTTGAGCTACTCGGCTTCGCGGTCGGAACGATTTATCCGGCCAGCTATATGAGAGGCATGCGTTCAATATGACAAGATGACCTCCAACGACCGGTCCTTAAAAGGCACAGACGGAATCACTATGATCACCACCCACATAAGACTCCGCCCGGTCTTCAATTAATCAACAACACCAAGTTATGTTTTACGATAGCACAATATAGCCAACCGTGATCAAGTTATCGCCTATGGCTCACAGGTGACAGGAAATTACTCGACTTCTACCGGTCTAAGCATAGCTAAGCATAACGAGCGTTCCTGGACTTAATTAGGATTCATGGTAGATATTTTTGGACAAGAAAAGATAATATGCAGCAAGTGTTCCTAAATAACTCCTATCACATAATGCATCAATACGAGTAACTTAGGTGACATTAATAAAATATGGAGACTTATAATGCTCCGGGGCTTGCCTTTCACGAACGTGGTAGGCTGAGGATTCGGGCACTCGGGAAGATGATCAGCTTTAGGCTCTCCTTCCCCTGGAATCTCCTGGTGTTGCACCTCTTGGCTCTCCTCTTGTGGATCGGCTTCGAGTTCCACCAACGTGATCCCTTCGGCTGCACCTATTGTATGCATATGCATAAGTAAGTTCTATGAATGCATAAGAATGATTATGGATGATGCGACATGGGAATGTACATGATGCTGTGAAAATGATGTTAAGTTACATAAATGATAACAACGTTAATTCCTTGTTTACTGAGTAGGTGTATAACTCTTCTCTATCCATTTCCAATATTCTTCACAATATAATTTCTGAGCTATACATAACAGTTACAAGTTTAAATCATAACTGTAGTTCTACCTATCTAAATACTGTGATCTTAGACTTTCTGAAAAGCTTATAAAATTTCCTACAACTCTTATTTAACCACCACAAGTTAATTCAAAATCTGTCCTAACCAAAACAGGCCATCTTTCCAACTTTGTTCAGAAATTTCTAGAGAACAAGCATTTCGGGAGACCAACTTCAAATAGCTATAACTCCTAAACCAATTGTCCTATAGCCCTGAAATTTTGACACAAGATAGATGAATAAGTTACCTACA